TGAACCTGTAGGATGAGAGATCTGAGCTATACAATTTTTAAATCCACAATCATGATTCAAATGAAAGTGCTAGTACCTTATGCTTCAGCTTCCTCAACCCAATCTTATCAAATAAATAAAATACAAAAAATATAATATACTTATTTTTCTTTTTCATAATCTTCTTACACATACTTTAATTTAAAAATCAAATGACCCTAATTCTCGAGCCTTCCATTTTTATTTCAAGTAGATTGAGTGCTTTAGCAGACATCTCCACAAAATGGAAAGAAACCACACTAAGTGGGATGTGCCCGATGCATAGTTAGCAAGTTTTCGTTTAAAATGCGACGTTTTGAAATCCGTGTAGAACTCCGAGTTTTTCAAAATATCTTCAAAAAATCAAGTTTTTTTCATGGAACCATTGTGAACCAGTATTATATCTTTTTTCAAAAAAACTTCTTCTTTGTAATTTTATTTCTTCATTAACTTAATATTATTGAATTTTCATTTAAAGATAAGCAAATTAATAGTAGGAGTAAATTAAAAATCTTGATTTAAAGTAAAATTCCATAAAACGTTTCACCAATAATTTCCTTTAAAATTTTTTACAAAAATTACAAACAATATATTCCCCAAAAAATAAGATATCAGAACAATCTTATATCTCAAAATAATAGGCAGATTAGAAGACTAACCCAATGTTTTTGTTTTTTTCTTTAAACCCAATGCATCCTTATAAAGAGCATTTTATGTGCGATTCAAAATTGCTTAACGATTTTGTATACAAAAGATTTAAGCAACTAGAAATTTAGCGTGAGATTCGAATTGGCTTAAACAATTTGTTGCTTTTATATATATATATATATATGGAGAGAGAGAGAGAGAGAGAGAGAGAGAGAGAGAGAGAGAGAGAGAGAGAGAGAGAGAGAGTAGTATATTATTTATTTATTTTATTTATTTAGTTATTATATATATATATAGTTAGTAGTAGTACGTATTACTTATTACGTTAGTTTAGTTTAGTTTAGTTTTAGTT